GATGAAATTGTGTTAACTTGTGTAATTATCAATACGATGATTTCTTGTGGTATTTCTGATGAAATGGTGTTAACTTGTGTAATTATCAATACGATGATTTCTTGTGGTATTCCTGATGAAATGGTGTTAACTTGTGTAATTATCAATACGATGATTTCTTGTGGTATTCCTGATGAAATGGTGTTTTGAGTTATCAGAAAGTGTTACATGCAGTTTGTTAAGTGTGGACAACATATGTTAAGTAGAGACAAAAAACAAAACAAATAACAATAAAAAGATGATTATCATACTTGCTGAAACTTTGCTGAAATTCCAAATAGAATACCACAAAAAATCATCATACTGATAATTACACAAATTAACACCATTTCATCAGAAATACCACAAGAAATCATCGTATTGATAATTACACAAATTAACACCATTTCATCAGAAATACCACAAGAAATCATCGTATTGATAATTACACAAATTAATTGCAGTTTTTTAACAGATATATACTGTATTGTGAGGAAAGTTTGGTTCAGGCCATGGTGACAATCTACATCTTGAAGTTGTGAAAAATGGCATAAAAATTACTTATTTGTGTCATACCAGATGGCATATAGAAAAGACTTGATGCTACTACAGACAATGCATACCAAGTTGGGCTAGTATACTTCTTGTAAATAGTTAGGAAATGTTCTTAGAATTGTGTCGACTACAACACTCTGTGAACACAGGTTTTGGCTGGATAATTTAAAACTGAAATATCACTGTCAATTAGATTTCAGTGTAATCGTGACTAAGCAAAAATTAAATACGATAGGAATTTTGTTATCATGAACTTTTAGTTATTTGACACACCGTATCAGTGTATGTTAATTACTTCATAATTCCCAAAGGTTTAAGCCAAAAGTAGGAACCCGCTGCTCAATGCAAGTTTACACACATATTCTTGTAAATATTTCATTTACAAATAAATGTAAAATGTCAACACGGCACCAAGTATTGTCAAACAGCACATAAAATATATATTCGGAACATTCAAGCTAATTTAAACCTTGAAGTTTGCCTGTCGCCGATTGGCATGCCGTCGCCCCCTACCTAAAAGTAAAAGTAACATAATGGGATGCATTCAAATTAATTGTTTAATGATGGTTTTGAAATCTCTTCATGAAGTTCATGTGGGATACGTTTAGGTGTGACTCTTCGGAATGCTTTGCGAAATCACGGCACGTATTTAAATTTAAAGTATTAGCGCACTATTGTACTTTTAAGAAAAGTGTTGCGAATGCAAACGACGCGTGACACGTAATTCTTTCAGATATATCGTGATCATTGCGCATGGTTCATTGCTAGGCCTACTACTAGTAGTGAGTACTACTAAACTATCGCGGGCAATCTCTTAAAATTAAATGTTATCAGGTAGGATATACTTTATATATGATACATAATCTTACTTATTCTTAGTACAAGTTATGCATTCAGCTATGACTTGTTTAATTAGTTTGTTAAGAATTCTGCCATTTCATCACGCCTTAGTTTTACGCTTTAAAATTAAAGATTCATTTTTCAATCAAATTTGGGGTTTCTCTGTTTAGTGAATTACGTATAAAAATAATTAATTGACCTACCTAACTTTCGATTACTGGTAGAAAGATCAAGATCTAGAGTTTTTCTCACTAAAGTAGCTGACATTTTTTTTAAAAACGTTGAAATATCCAAAGTGAGGCCTTGTTCTCCCGCTCCCAGTGTCTAGTATATCTGTATACGCAACTAAAGCGCTTATTTGTAAGCTTCATCGCTTAGTTTTGCCTGGCCAGCAGGGCAACGGACGACAATATTATGTCGTGGAATAATATTGTTACTGACCTATGACCAGAACGTTTGATATATTCTGTAGAATCTCTGGCATTGTTCTAATACTGGAATTTTTGTCGTCTTTCAAAAGTTGTAGTGCATACCGAAGGGATTTACACATTTTGATGAGAAGGTTAGAAAAAAAAGACTTTAATACTCCAGATAATTATATAAAAACTTTTAAATTTATTTTAACCAACGTTTCGCCATTGCGGCTTCATCAGAGTTAGTACATACAACTGCTTGATGTTAGATTATTCATCTAGCCTTTATAAAGGCCAATGTGTCTCGTCACGCTTAATATTTCTCGAAATAGGAGGAGTCATAAAAGCCAAAATGCATTTATCTAGATTGAATAGTTTCATTACTGTCTGCCCATTACGATTTTAGTGACGAGGATGCAAGGGGGCCTTGAGAGTGGTGGTGGTGCCATGAAACCTTATAAGTGTTGGTATAATAAGCCTAAAATAACCACGTAGTGTGGGATCACCTAGCCCAGAGCATAACATTTATCATTAAAGTAAAAATATTATTACGACAGCGGTAGTCACGTGACCCTGGTATCACGTCATGATATTCTAGAAGGATCGGAGAACATCACGAATAATCCAGTATGTGCTAGGCGCCCTCTATTCCTTTATATAAGTGCGCCGTATAACGTGAGACAAATTAATCGGAATTGAATTGCAGACAGGCAGATATAAAGACGGACAATTGAGTCAAGCGCGGTAGTGACCGTAAGTAAGTGCGTGAATCATTGTGAATTATAGCGTGTGTTTAAAGTGACCGTAGAAATTAAGTGCATTGCAAAGTTGAATTGAGAAAGAATAAACTAGTTTTATTTAAGAAAGGACTTGTATCTCTGAAGTTCCTTGGAAAGAATTTATATCGGGAAATTAACAAACGAACACAGGTGTAACAATATCGATTCAGTTTGAAACTTAAATCGTTTCTGAATTAAGCTATTTTCTGATACATCACCAACGTTTTAATAATGATAAAAAATTATTTAATTAAAGGAAACTAAATTAAGAAACGAACATTTTTTCCTGTTTTGTTGTCTATACACTTTATTTTACACTTTCAGTACATAGACTAACAACAATATTAGTTTATACTTTTGTTGCTAAGTAACATGACGTAAAAAGACATTGTTGGAATGTAGTGTTACTTTATATTAGAAGTTGTTAATCTAACTGATTGCCCCCAGTGGCACAGCGGTATTGTTTGCGGACTTACAACTCTAGAAGCCGAGTTTTGATACTCGTGGTTGGCAGAGCACAGATAGCCCATTGTGTGGCATTGTGCTTAACTTTAAAACAAAAAAAACTAACTGATTTTTACCAATAATTACTATAGGGTGGGGTGGTAGTACTTGCTCCGTCATTTTTCATGGTCTATACACTGGTTATATAATAATAAAAAAGAAAGCAGGAGTAAGCAGAACAAGAAATTCAAACGTTTTGCCATGATATTTACAGACATTTCAAGAACTTGTGATTCAGTCATTACATAGATATTGTTATAAAAGGAAATACTGTAATAGTAAAGTTCTGATGACCTATTGAGAAGATACTTAAAATACCATTTCGATGAACAATCCGAGTCATCCATACATAGGCTGTGCTGCAGCCTGCTTGATAATACTTTAGTAACTAATTTACGTATACAATCTCAGTATAATATTGTTACGACAGCGGAAGTCACGTGACGCTTGTAACACGTCATGAGATTGTAGAAGGATCATGTCTGTTCTTGGCAACTCTAGTCTTTTCTACACGCCCTCTATTTTTGTATATATAAGCCCGGCAAATAAAGCGGGTGAGGGTGACGGCATAGAAAATTTGCAAGATAGACAGATAATCGAGACAGATAAATAATAATATATAATAATAATATAGACAGATAAATTATCAAACAAGCAGATACGTAATAATATCATAAACTGAACTGTTACTAGTACAGGGGTCAGAAACGGTTGTTAGTTGAAATACAAATATATATATATATA